TAAAGGCTAGTTAGTTATAAATGACAATTAACGGACAACGTCACAGCACAGAACTAGTTCAACAAAAAACAATAATTAAATTCCCGTCACATTTAATTTCCAACGTAAATAAGTGTACTTACGAAATAATTGGTATTTTCATACCCTTTCAATATGGCGGACACGATATTAATATCTGTTATGACGGGTAGTGGTTTGGAAAACTGACGTGAGCTTTGGGACCTACGTAATTATTAATTAGCCATTCAGGTTTAATTAATTGTATCTAGTTTCATTTTATTTATGATGCTGTGTCGTGGTTACTGCCTCGTTGGCCGAGTGGTCGCAATTGTTACTGCCAAGCAAGGGGCCTCGAGTTCGATTCCCTGATCGGGCAAAGAATTATTTAGTTTCAAAACAAAATCTCAGTAGTAGTACGAAGTCTGGAATTGTGCCTCGTATACGGCAATAGGGTCACCCTCTATTACATTGTACAGTGGCATTTAGTGCCGTAATGTACACCTCTACCTACGCCTTCGGGGATAAAGGGCGTGATGTTACGGTCGTGGTTACTGCTTGATTGCTAGTATGAGCGACTATTTAGCAGGGATTAAAAAAATCATCATCTGACATTAAAACACCATTTCAACTTTAGTTATGTTTATTATTGCAAAGGTTCGTACCTATTGAATTATCCTTGGTTCTGTAATGAATAGGTGTTGGAAAATCGATGATTTACATAATAAATAAAATATTTATGTCTGATTTACATTCAATAATAAATTCTTGTATTAAACGCATGCAGGAAAAACTAGTAATAGGAATTTCCAATTTTCAAATTCCCAATAATGTTTTTTTTAACACTTGATTAGCTTGCACCCGTAACTAGGTCTGCGTTTTTATAAATTTCTAAAAGAAAAATAGCCTATTTTACTCCTTAGTACATTAACTACCTGCCAATAAAAATCCCGTCAAACTCGGTCCAGCCATTTCAGATATTCGCCAGTACAAACAGACAGACAGACGAAAATTTTAAAAAAGTGTTATTTTGGTATGTTTATCGTATATATTCGGGGATAAAAAGGCGTGGTGTTATGTTATGTATCGTATGTATATTCATGTATATACCTTATATATACATTTAAAAAAAAGAAAAGAATGAAATAGAACAAAACATACAATAGTAGAAAACATAAAACTAAAAGAAACGTTTGGACCGACGCGTGATCCGTTTCCGAGATCGTTAATACACATATGTAGGGTCTAGGGGTTTGAGAAAAACTAATTTTTAAGGTAAAATAAAATAAATAAAATAATTTTAGGAAAAACCTTTTAAACAACAATATGTGGTAGGCGATCGTACTAAAATCATACTACTACTAAAATAAACTGTGTATTCAAAAATAACCGTCTTTAACAATTATCATTAAACAGAGCAACGTCTTCGCTCATCAACTGTCTGCAATACTCTCCCAATCTCAATCATACACTTTCATTCCGTTCGTTCGGATTCATTCACACAATATCTTATATTACTTCTCCAAGTATTCGGATACACACAACTATTCTTGTATATGTACTTTAAAGACTCGTTTAGTCGCGGAGAACCTAACGGGTAACCGGGGCTCCTGCTCGACGTGCAGGAGAAGGAACGGGGTGGTTTTTAGTCAGTAAGAGTCTGACACTCCCTCCCGCCTCACCCAGGCGGGAGCAGTCATTCGATGAGTTTCCCCCCTTAAAAAAAAAAAAGACTCGTTTAAAGACAGTTTGAATATTTTTGCGACCCACCCAAATGTTCTTTAGGTTGGTATTGTTCGTCGGATCAGTCAGCCTCACCTGTTAATTGAGCTGATTGTAAACCGACACATGCGTACTGCCTTCAGAGCGGGTCCGCTCAAACTGTTGTGATTCTTTCCTCAAAAGGCCACTACAGAAAGAATATTTTATACATATTTGTCTGGACTTTAATAAAGACGGACCTCTGAGTTTGTTTCGGCATTTCTTCTCAGAGTAGTCAGTTGTGAAATGTCGGCCTCATCGTTCGCTTGATAAAATTGACGTGTAAAAGTGCTGCCTTGTAGCCTATTTGCAGAAATAAATTCACTTATTTTACAAAAGGTATTAGATTTAATAGAAGATGAATTTAAAAAACTGCATCCACATTACTATAGCCTGTAAAACTTAGAACAACGTGATCGAATACATTAATGTAAACAGCATAAATAATAAATATATTCTAATATAAAGATCAAAGTATGTTTCAAGGTCGGCTCGAGGTCGCTGCGTGTCAAGTGCATCCGATAGAAAACGTTGCACCAATGCGAATAAATGTTTCACAACTAGTTCTCTGACATTCGATTCTGAGTCCTATAAGTAGTATATAAGTAGGTATGTGCTTCGACACATCGCCCATGGACACCTGGAACACCAGAGGCGTTACAAGTGCGTTACCGGCCTTTTATGAATAAGGAATTTGAGGATTGTTGGAGATTCAGAGGGAGATAGGGGAGGGGGGATAATTGGGCCTCCGATAACCTCACTCACACGACGAAACACAACGCATGTCCGACGCGGAAATCGAACCCAAGACACGTTGCACAGCAGCCAGTCAGCCAACTTCTACGTCAAACGTACAGTCATACAGTATTTACCTCTTAAGAGGTATACCTTACCAATGGAAATCCCTATATTAATCACATGTTTACCTAATGTAAGGATTTCTTTCAAAAATAAAAAGGAAACTAAAAAAGCCAGTTATTATACTTACGTAGATACATATATAATTATGTTAAGCGAAACGTTTGAAAGCCCCCATTTCTTTCTTTTTCCTTAATGAATGAAAACCTATTCAAATGACATGATAATGTGGTATCGAAGGACAGATGTCACGAAATAATATTTTTTTAGGGTTCCCTGATCATATTGAATTCGCCTACACTTACATGACCCTTGGATTACACGCGTTTTTATACGAACTTTTAGAGTACCTATAAAAATACAGTTCCTGGTACACACGGCCACAAATCGATCTATACAAAACCAGTTTATCCTGGTGTCGCGTCGCATCATCTTTCCGCACATTTAACGTTCAGTTTATACTGGTTATGTAAAGCTCGATGTGTAGCCGTATGTACAAAATCAGAATAAAAGACGGTCATAGTAGGTATAAATCTATTCTTTGTATTCACCTTATCCAGTTTCAGCAAGTCCCGACCGGGTCGCAGCGCTTTCTGATTAACCTGAACATTTTACAATGCGATCTCTAACTCACCTGTCAAGACGTATGGTGACTATGGTAAGTGTGTTAGAGCCATGATCGTGACGAATGAGCCGACTCCACCGGAGTGATACCACGACCGAGCAGAAAACCGACGTAAAACAAGACTTGCGTTGTGTTTCGTCGTGTGAGTGAGGTTACCGGAAGCCCAATTATCCCCTTCCCCAATTTCTACAATCCTTGAATCCCAATCAACAATCCTCAAATTCCTAATCCCCAAAAGGCCGCTAACATACTTGTAACGCCTCTGGTGTTCCGGATGTCCATGGGCGACGCCGATTGCTTACCATCAGGTGATCCGTCTGCTAGTTTACCGGCTTATCCAATATTAATCCCTCTTAGTTGAGACAGTTACTTAAAAAATTGCTCTTTGCATTAATCAAAATTAATTAACTTATCACAGGTAAATAAGGAGAAATTAATGCGCGTTTAAAACCATAATCATAAGCACTATTTAAATACCCCAATCAGAAGTACAAAATGAAACAAATTCGACCTTATTGACATTGATTTTTTGACCTAAATCGAAGTCGTTACCTTTTTTGAGTGAATCAAAGCAAAGGACGAAGAGACAATGTTTTCTAAAATAGCATTTATATTGAAATTAATTCAAATGAGTGCTTATAATGTAGAGATACTAATGTATTATTAACATTGAATATCTTGTGAGGAATCTACAATCTTGTGGCAAATGAATTACTTGGATTCAAGTGTGGGAGAGCCATACTTCGGCACGAATGGGCCGGCTCGACCGGAGTGATACTACGGCCTCACAGAAAACCGACGTGAAACAATACTTGCGTTGTGTTTTCTCGTGTGAGTGAGGTTACTGGAGGCCCAATTAGATTGAAGAGATTAGGCAACAATCCTCAAATTCCTAATCCTCAAAAAGCCGGTAACGGACCTGTTACACCTCTGGTGTATCGGGTGTGGGCTAAAGAGAAGAGAAGAGAAACCCACGACCAACAACTTTCATTATATCAGCCATAAGACGGCCACTGCTAAACTGAGACCTCAAATGACTTCCAGCCAGATCGACCAGTGGCAGCGATTCCCAATGCCCAGCAAATTTACATGTCCTAAGTTTCAAAGCGTCTAATCATACAAAGGTCAGCGTTGCACAGGAAACCTTGAGTTTTCCCATAAAACTGACAATAATAATATTAATCGAGCGTAGATCAAGTTTAAAGTGATCCGCGGCGTGACCGGCGCGAACCCGCGATCATATATTAAGGATCCGTCGTGGGGAGCAGGGATTAATGCATCATGCAGCTTGTGGTGGGGCCCAAGTGTTGGACGACATCAGGTAGACTATGAGAGTAGTTTGTATTAGAAAAAAATGAGGTTTTAGTCGATAATGGTGTTAATACCATAGCATCACGTCTTTTATCTCCGAAGGGGTAGGCAGAGGTGCACATTACGGCATTTAATGCCACATATAGTGTTAATATGGTGTTAATGAACAACAGAATAGACTGTGGCGGTCATCGCCCCCATTCTATGTCATCATGTGATTCCGATTCTGATCATGTGATTATGATGTCACCTGTGCCCTAGCATGTATTAATTTGATTTATAATTAAACAGTCTCATACCGAACTTAAACGAGTGCAGATCATTTCACTCCTCACACAGATACCCTACACATACGGCGCTAAGCCCCACATATGGTGACCCCGACGTGATCGTCCAACTGACGTGCATTTTTTTCGGAAAACGTGAACAAATTACTTTCGAATTTACAATGGCGACTCAACCAAAAGTACAACCCGAAGTGGTGGAGCTAGCGACCGTAACAGTGTCCTCAAGGATTCCTGATTTTTGGCGTGATCAGCCGCGGCTGTGGTTCGTACAATGCGAAGCAGTGCTGAGTCCTCAAAAATTAAGCGACGAAGCGAGGTTCAACATGGTCGTCACTAAGCTCGGCAAAGAAGTTGTGCAGCAAGTTAGCGACATTTTGTTGAAACCACCGGAAACGAAGAAATTCGAAACTCTGAAGGCGCGGTTGTTAACCGTTTATGAAGAATCAGAAATGCGGCAATTCCAAAAACTGCTGAGTGAGATGGAGTTAGGCGACCAAAAGCCTTCACAGCTTTTGCGTCGAATGAGAGATCTTGCACGCGAGAAAATACCTGACGAGACTCTTTCTATTATGTGGCAAGGACACCTACCTTCACCAGTGAGAGCCGTGCTGGCAGTTACAGAAGCGAAAAATTTGGAGACTCTCGCCGCGATAGCTGACAAAGTGATGGAGACCTCGAAACCATTTCAAGTATCCGAAGTGCAAACCTCGACCAGTGTCAATACACACACTGACCAAAATTCTATTATGGCAGAAATCGCAAAGTTAACTGCAAAAATTGACGAAATGGGACGCGGAAGAAACAATTATAGAAACTTTAATAAACCGTTTCATCGTAGGCGATCGCAATCAGCATCTCGTTCGCGTCATATGAATCGCCGGACACCTGATACTCCCGGTTGGCTTTGTTATTATCACAAAAAGTTTCGTAACAGAGCAATAAAATGCGTGGAGCCGTGCGCCTGGAAGAAGGAAGAACACAAGGAAAACTAATCGTGGCGCAGTCACAGGCGGAGATTTGTGCCATTGTCCCAGTAAACCGCCTATGTATTTTAGATAACAATAGTGGACTTAACTTTTTAGTTGACACCGGCGCTAACATATCTGTACTACCAGCAATAAAAAAACCGTACTACCGTGAGAAGTGCAGCGAATACAAACTTTATGCCGCAAATGGTAGTGAAATTCGAACTTATGGCACTAAAACTCTAGACTTAAATTTTAATTTGCGGCGACCTTACCGCTGGACTTTCGTTATTGCTGAGGTAAAACAGCCCATATTAGGTGCGGACTTCCTGAACCACCACAAGTTATTAGTTGATGTTCATAGAAAGAAAATAATAGACTCAGTGACCAGCTTGTGTTGTGTTGCTACGCTCTCTCTATCCGAGCAACCGACTATTCACACAATAAACTATGCTAGCGACTACAGTGATCTGTTAGCAGAGTTCCCCGATGTCACTAAACCAATGTGTTTCAAAACCACTCCACGCCATTCTGTAGTCCATCACATAGACACCAAAGGCGCTCCTGTCTACGCACGACCGAGACCACTTCCGCCATGTAAATATATGAGAGTTAAGGCCGAATTCCAACGTATGCAGGAGATGGGCATATGTAGGCCTTCGAAGAGTTGTTGGGCGAGTCCACTACATGTAGTCAACAAGAAAGATGGAGGTATTAGACCCTGCGGCGATTACCGACAGCTAAACGCTATCACAACACCCGACCGCTATCCCATACCTCGGATTCAGGACTGCACTTATTTACTCTCAGGAAAATCACTATTTACCCGGCTAGATTTACAACGTGCTTACCACAACATACCCGTAGCAGAGCGGGATATAGAGAAGACAGCTATAACAACGCCTTTTGGCCTCTACGAGTTTACAAAAATGACATTTGGCTTAAGGAATGCAGGGCAAACCTTTCAAAGATTTTTGAATGATGTCGTTCTACGCGACTTAGATTTCATATTTATATACCTTGATGACATCATCATAGCCACAGAAAATGATGCAAATATTCATAAACAGCAAGTTAGAAAAGTATTACAACGTCTGAACGAGTTTGGAATAACAATTAACTTAGCAAAATGCGATTTTGGGAAGATGGAACTTGAATATTTAGGATTCCATGTGTCCAAAAAAGGTTTGAAACCTACAGACAAACAAGTTCGAGTGATATCAGAGTTTCCAAGGCCGAAGACCGTCGATGAGTTGCGCCGTTACCTGGGCATGATAAACTTTTACAGAAAACATCTTCCTCATGCAGCAGAAACTTTTGCAAAGTTAAATGCATATTTGATAAACAGTAAAAGGAAAGATAAGAGCCCGATTACATGGACTGAGGAGAGTATTGAAGCCTTCGAACTAAGTAAACAAAGCCTGTTAAAGGCAGTTACTTTATCGTTCCCGTCAACTGATGTGCCTATGGCTCTAATGACCGACTGTTCCAACACGTGCGCCGGGGCAGTACTACAGCAGAGAGAGGGCAACATATGGAAACCGTTAGGATTTTTCTCTACAAAGCTCAGTGAAACTCAACAACGATATAGCACCTTCGACCGCGAACTATTGGCAATATATATGGCAGTGAAACACTTCCGGTACCTAATCGAAGGGAGGCCTATAACGGTATATACCGATCACAAACCCCTAGTCCACGCCCTAACGAAGACTTCAGTTAGCAACAATGACACACCCAGACGATTAAGGCATCTGGATTTCATCATGCAGTTTTGCACAGCGATTGAACACATTAGCGGGGTAGACAACGTCGTGGCGGATACATTATCACGTATATCGTCCATAGACTCAGGCATCAACTACGAAAAGGTAGCTAAAGCACAATTAAATGACTCGGAATTGAAGGAATTGATGCAATCAAATACATTACGTTTCAAACGTATATATTTCCCACATTGTAATTTGCCGATTTATTGTGAAGTGTCGAAAGAAGTAGCAAGACCATATTTGCCTAAAGAATTTCGTATATCAGCCTACAAAGCTGTACACGACATTAGTCACCCAAGCATTCGAACAACGAGAAATATGATTCGCAATAGATACTTTTGGAAGTCTATGAATAAGGATGTTACTAGCTGGACCAAGGCTTGCCTTAATTGTCAGAGGTGCAAAGTTCAACGACATACAATATCGCCTCATGGAAAATTTATGCACAGCAACAGATTTGAACACTTACACATGGACATAGTTGGCCCGATGCAATATTCTGATGGCTACCGATACATCGTGACAATGATGGATAGAAGTACAGGTTGGCCAGAAGCATACCCTGTTAAGGATATTACATCTGAGACAGTAGCCGATATAATTTACACCGGATGGATATCTAGGTTTGGATGTCCATTAAGATTGACTACGGACCAAGGCCGACAATTCGAATCCCACCTATTCAATCATCTTACCAAGAAAATGGGTATTTCACGTATACGAACATGCGCTTACCATCCGCAGTCGAATGGAATGATCGAAAGATGGCACCGTATCCTCAAATCAGCCCTTATGTGCAGAGGAAATACAAGCGACTGGGTTTCAGAACTACCAACAGTGTTACTTGGGTTAAGAACTAGTTTACGAGACGACACCCAAATCAGTGCCGCCGAGTTGGTGTATGGAGAAGTTATTAGATTGCCCAGTGACTTTTTCGAACCGAATACACAAAACGTATACGACAACGATTGTTTTGTTCAAGAATTACGAAGAAAAATATCAAAATTATCGGCAGTCCCCAAGAGAGATCCGAAGCAAAGCAATGTTTTTATTCATGCTGACTTAAAAAACTGCTCTCATGTATTTATACGCGAAGACAAAGTAAGAAAACCTTTAACGCCACCCTATACAGGTCCGTACAAGGTAATAGAAAAGCATGAGAAATATTATAAAATATTGCAAGCAGATACAGAGAAATGCGTTAGTATAGATCGATTGAAGCCAGCTTTTATGCCTGACACTGCATATTCTAGAGAGGCACCAAATAAGGACACAGATCATGTAAACAATGCACCGCTAGTTACTAGATCGGGACGCATCATCAAACCTGTCGTACGCTTCGTGTCGTAAACACATTCAGTAAGCAACGCATTTTAATATAACATCATCATGGGAAAAACTCAAAGTAGCTTTACCGAAGGAAAAGTACTGATTGCTCAAAACGGCGCCGGTAACAGCGCTGCTGCAACAACCATAACTAAGAACCTGTGGATAGAGCGAGTAGAACTGTATGTGCTCTGTATTTTGCTCTTCATCATCACCGTCATTGGATACCTTTTCTGGAGACAATGCAAAACAAATTACGGTCGATATATGCGAAGGGAGCTACAGGAACTGCCGACAACCTTGGTTCGCCGAGGTGACCCAGTCCCACACGGGCCGGCCACCCAGCAGATCATTGTGTAAGAAACGAAATATTGTGAACAGTGGAAAAGTGTAGTGAATAATATGTTATCGCATTTAATCAGTAAATAATGGACTATATAATGGACTGTAAGTGTACAGTGTACTTACTGTGTAATCGCATTTAATGGACAATATTGATAGATTCTAGGTACTGAACTTATTGTTAACATTGTATAACGAAAATTTTTTTAAAAAGGGGGGAATATTGTGGCGGTCATCGCCCCCATTCTATGTCATCATGTGATTCCGATTCTGATCATGTGATTATGATGTCACCTGTGCCCTAGCATGTATTAATTTGATTTATAATTAAACAGTCTCATACCGAACTTAAACGAGTGCAGATCATTTCACTCCTCACACAGATACCCTACACATACGGCGCTAAGCCCCACAAGACAATGAGACTAACGCCCGAAAACTGAAACGTTAATCAATTTTAGACGCGCTTAAGTATATTTCTGTCTCTACAAATTCTTTGTAAAATGACAGAGATGGCACGATATTTAAGTTCAACTGAAAATTGAGTTGCCTACGTTTTACGTTAAGTTTTGACGTCTATAAGAAGGCTCTTTTCTATTTTTCAGTTTGACTTTGACTTTGAGAGGTGATGGCACTAGAAAATAAAAGGTCAAAGTTAATTATGATTGATAATGTTAATTATTATTAAGGTGTGAGTTCCATCAATTACCATAATTTCAGTTTATAACACAACTAGTGAAGAATTAGTTTATATGTGAGATAAACAGAAATCTTTTTAACGAAAGGCTATTCTGACGATAATGTTGAGCCTAATTGATGATAGCTAAAGCTAAAAGTGAAGTATTGAATATGACTCAATTCCATTCACATAGATGAAAAAACAATGTTACTAATACAAATATGAATAAGTAAAAAAATAAAAGAGTAATTTCAATCAATAATAACATAGAACAAAAACAATCAGAAAGATGACCCAAAACCTATGCCTATCAACTTCATTCCATCCTCCCGCTACCTCTCAAAACTTGAGTCACCACAGCGCTCCCCCTCCCCGCGCCTTCCAGCCATCGGTACGTGAAGTAGATGGATTACAGTGCACAGCATTTGTTGTACCCTTTACTATAACTTACATATACCATCAGAAGGCTACTTAGTACAAATTGAAAAATACCCCACTGATGAGCCACCATAATTATTAGTTAGTGACTAGTTCGTAATTAGAATAGGGTAGTTTCCTAAATTTTATTTTAATGTCCGTCTGGTACATTAATTTAAAAATTTAAATACATTTTTTCTTTTCTCACAAAATAAATACTCTCGATTCATTTGAAATATTGTGTGACGTCATAAATTTGCGTGCGTGTCAAATTTTGTAGCACGTTATGACGTAAAGACCTTCCACTCCTAAACTTAGCGACATTTTATCTAAGTATTGCAACAAAATACAAGAAAAAAAATACGTGTCTAATATTTGTTCATTATGTAAC